ACAGATTATATGTGTTATAAGTATGAGGGTGAAGGGCTAAAAGCTCTGCAACATCGATTTCCCCTCTCCCATAATCGCACAATTGGACAGCAGCAGGCGTCCTTGAATCCGTAATCAGAGCCAATCAATGATGCTCCTGTGTACAAGCACACTCATTCATCCTCGGTCACACACATACACCAACACATTAGTGAGTTAACATTCTTGCTCCAAATGTTGGGTTCATTCTAACATAACACATTCATGTGACAAATGTATGGGGAAAAATCCTGACAGGACAACGGGTAGTATGAGACCAGCTAAGACAAAACATCTTACAGGTAAATGTGTGAATTCAGTTCCAGCCTGATAGAGATAGAAAGAGAAGGAGAGAGAGGGAGAGAGAGTTGGAAAGGTGGAATGGCACCCATGGGAGCCATGGAACATTCACACCAATGCGCATCCATCTCCGGGACATGAGGAAGGAGGCTGCCTGTAGCATGCCAAACAGAGCGAGCCTGACATGTGTGACAGACACACACACACACGCAAACTCCCTCTTAACCTTCTCAATCACACCTCACACCATTCCGATGCAGACCCCTTCCAGTCTAATTTGAATCTGGGGTCCTGCTAGCGAGCCGACATTTCTCTCCAGCTGGCCATTGTCATGTGGCGACATAGTTAATCTGTTTTCCTAAGAGCCAGACGTTCATGGTGGCTAATGTTCAGACCCTCTGCACAGCCTTATTAACACACAATACATTCTAATGTCGTCCTCACCCAGCACTACTGTGGTTGCATAGTCACACTGGGATCAGTGAAAAGATTGGATTGATCACTGTCAGGATGAAGATGGCTGAACATCAGCAGTGTAAAAAAACAGGTCTGAAATTACTTAAGTATAAAAGTATTTAGGGGAAATAAATAACATTAACATCATAACCTTTGTTATAATGCCTAAATGTATTAAATAGGCTCTATCCAGAATTTTCAGGATTTGGTAGTTTGTGATTATGATTTCAACAAACTTGCAATCCATGTCTTATTTTATAGTAATTAAATTAAATACATAATTTAAAAAAATCAGAAACTTGTGAAATTAACAAAGTGGAATTCTCTTATTTGCAACAGAAAACAATGCAGTGAGCATGATTTCTGACAGAGCAGACAGCCACAGTTTATTTTTGCTACAGCCGACACCACCCAGTAAACTTTGTTTGGTTATTTCCAGGCGAAAAGACATCTAGGTGTCTTTTAAACTGGAATTAACTTTTAGACATCTGGATTACATGTAACCCCAATTTCATCTCGATTCCAATGACATTCATTTTTACATGTAAGATTCTACATGTAAGGTTCTACAGGAGTTTCTGTTCATATTTCTTGGGGAAAGCTATGCAATTGAAAAGTTAAATCCTTCGCTTTAAATTCAGTATTACTGCGCAGGATAAATGCCGTAATGGCGGGTTGTTTACTTTTAGAACCTGCATTAGAGTGTACAGTTTAAGGAGCAGAAAAGCTGGTAAATGCGCACACACTTTTGCACTATAAACAGCGTCCATATGTCATATTGACAGTAATACTGTTGTACCCATAGACTGTATATAGAAAGGTTGTACCCCTAAAGATACAGGGCATGTATAACGTTTTCTGTCATGCTCTAGCCAATATGCTTTCTCTCTTCCCTCTCATCTGCTTGAGACATGTTCAGGGACATGTTTGAGCAGAGCCCTACCTGACCACCTACCCAGTGGGCACTGAAGTCCAGAAAACCTCTTCACCTTTCGGGTGTCCTTAGAGTGGTTAGAAAGGGGTCCATGCCAGACACCCAGTCCTCTGGCGTGTGTTGGGGAGGTTCACGTCTGTCTCTATTTGTCTTTCATAACAGATAGAATAAATTGGGATTCTTGTGGGATCTGAGATTATTGCACAGCTGAATGGCTGTTCTGCATTATTGCGTTAATATTCGGCGCTGTTCGTACAAATCCAGGATGACTTGCCAGAGGGAGCTGTCTACTGAATGCAGCTTAACTTGAAAAAAAGGTTGGTATACATAAAGGTTTTGTACATACATGCTGTTTTTTTATAATATTTCTTCACTCAGCAACAAGCCGGTGTGCACTGCAACAGTTTTTCCTACCGACAGACAGAAAGTGATAACAACCTCACGGTAGCTGCCAGAAGGATAACACTTCCTAACACTGTTTACCTGTCCTGTGCCAGCTGCACAGTGCATGATGGGAAATAGAACTGACATGTGAGGCCAATCAGTGAATAGGAAGATTCAAGCAAAAGTTCTTGTGTCCCTGTTACAGATTTGATCTCTGTCAGTGTTGCTGAGGCTCTTCTTGATAGTCTGTCATGTTGAAAATGTGTTTAATTGGACTCAATTAGTCAGCTCTTGAGCTTGATTGACTTCATTGAGCATAATGCTAATTGGCCAGTGGAGCAGAGTGACAGAGGAAGAATTGGCAGTGGCAGCTTGTGTTAGCCTGTTGTGAGGGCATAGGGAGCACTGCGCAGGGGGGACTGGATACAGTTGATGACTGAAACTTAAGGAGAGCTGTGGTTAATAGGAGCTGCAGGTCCCCCTTCGTTTCTCCTCTACCTAACCCAATTGTTGGTGTTTGAAAAGCTATTTCCAGTGCTTAGCACATTCGGTGCCCCGGGCAAGCTTATAGGACGCGACCCCCTCCCCACCACCACCACTCCCTCCTTCCTTTGCTCCCTCCTCCTAGTTCAAGCTTGTCACTCTGATCCCCAGGCTGTAAAGGTAAGACAATCTGCAATCACGTTGACTTCAGGGAACATCTGAAGATGCAGTTATGAATCTTAAGGATCGTTTCATGGTGTGATGCGACTGTGGTTCATCTCTGAATGTGAAACTTAATGTTAGACCTACAGTACTCTTTACTAATACAAGAAAGATTTCAGTGTGTGTGTGGACGCTTAGGTGTGGACTTGGCCAAGCCAGAGGGACAGAAGCGCTGATGTGTGCTACCGTTTAAAATAGACCAGACAGACAGCTGAGCAGCTGTGACCTCAGGTCCCCTGAATTCTCAGTTACCCTCAGTGACCACGCTGCTCCTTGCAATGCGTGTGTATGTCTGTGCCTACAGTATAATACACTGAATCATCCATACCCCTTTTCAATACAATTAAAGTGTCTTGAAAAAGCTTACTTAAAAAAGAAAGCGCAGTTGAAAGTAATTTTCACACTAACTCTCTTTCAGTGTCTGAGTTTGCTCCCATTATTGTCCATATTTTAAAGTCATCCATGGCTCTCTGCGTCAGTCAGCGGAGGTTATTAAAGGACGACAGACGGCTTTGGTTTTGTCAGGCAGGGACAATGCAGTCCAATTACAGCTCAGGCAAAGAGGAGGCACGATATCCTTGCACTGGGCACTGTCTCTGCTCTCATCTGTAGCCAGTCAGACACTCAGTTTCACAGCAACAAGCATGAAATAGACTCCAAGGATCAAATACAGACAATTGGAAGTGTATAACTGTGGGACAGGACGTGTGAATGAGATCATTGGTGTGTATTTGTGATGATTTTTGTGTTCATAAAAGTGTGTGTGTGTGTGTGTGAGAGAGAGAGAGAGAGAGACAGAGTGAGAAAGAGCTTGTGGACATTGTATGCTTTAGCCAGGAAAGTACTATTAGTGTGCTCCCAGGCTGATGGCTAAAACAGTGGGAGGTGTGGTGAGACTTGGAGGGCCACTGTCGCCTGATACATTGCCATTAAATTCTTTTATAATCACTATGGAGGAAAAAAGAACTGTTACCCTCAAGAGCAATTTTAAACATGACTTCTAAATATTTTTTGCTTCGGCCCGTTTGTATGACGGATCAGGCTTTCTCAGATTACACTATCTGAACACTAAAATACATGAAACAGTGATACCACATGACAACCTAACTTTGTTTTAATCTCAAGGAGGGAATTGTAGCAGTCTGCATGTCATCCCACAAACATGTGTCTGCTTTCACCAACAGTGGCAGCCTTCATGCTTCCTTTGTGTTTATAGATGTCTCACAGTAGCTATGTTAGGCTAGCAGTGATGCTAACATTGCAGCTGACAGCACAGACTAATTCAGTGCAATTATAGCCTGTGAATAGGCAGAGATTCCCCTGCAGGAGCAGCCAATGGGTCAGCCACACATCAGCTGAGCTAGCAAACTTTCACTTTCGACGCCGCTGTCATCACGACTGACTGTCTGCCGTGGTCCTTTCCAGCACCAAACCTTTCCATATCTTCTGCACTCTCACACTCCCCTCTGCCTCTATTCCTGGTGCAGACATTAACTGATATGTTTAGCAAGAGGCTTCCTGGATGCAAATAGACAGGGTCAGACTTAGAAGACATGTCCTATGCCCTCATAACTCAGTCCTCATCCACTGCTCACCAGCAGATGAGTATGGTCAATGAAAGTGATGTGTTTTTAGACAGAAAGCAAGCCAGTGCAATGCAATCATAGTTACTATGTCTGCTTGGTTTTAAGGAATAGTTCAACAAAAAAGCTTAGCCTACTCCCTTTCTTGCCAAGTTACATGAGAAAATGAATCTCACTTCCATGTCTGTGCGCTGACTACGGAGCTTGAGCCAGGAGGTGATTAGCTTAGCATAGCAGAGAGAAACAGCTAGCCTGACTCTCTCAAGTTCACAAATTCACCTTGCTGATCTCCTTGAACTATTTCTTGGCAGCCTGTGGTTGAGTGCAACGACTTCCCGGGTTCTTGTATCTAAAACTAAATGTTTAGCTTTAGAGGTGCTACTAGGCAACTATTGGCAAGAAAGCGAAGTGTACTTCCCAAAATGTCAAATTATTCCTTTAAAAGACTCTCAAAGCATCACGGCATGTGCATAATGTCACCTGACTTTTTAATATTCTGTTTTGAGAACAAAGTGAGGCAATATTCTAACATAGGCCTATTTAAAACAGGTGTTTTTACTATGGCTGATTTGACCTCTTCTCATAATGAAAAAAGAAAGCAAAAATAAATAAACACTTGGATGGGTGTGCCATCAGTGTAGGGCATTTAATAAACATCTTTTCTTATCAATGTCTATAGTGACTGATACTCTTTAAGGAGAGGCTAGGGAGACAAGCAAAAAAGCAGAGCACCTTTAATAGAGCTCAGCTCCACTGTATCATACTGATATAAAAGAGAGGAAACAAGACACAAAAAAGTGACTTAAAATATGTACATTTAAACACATGCAAGGCTGTATGTGATCTTTGCCTGCAGTGAACGACAGTCAGGAACAAAACATAGGCTAAATAAAGATAATCATATGAACTACAAACATATAGTTACAGAACACAAGATGGCCATGTTCAGACTGCAGGCCTACGTGACCCAAATCAGATTTTTTTGCCCATATGTGACTCAGATCTGATCTTTTATGACAGTGTGAACAGGAATCTGATCTTTCCCAGTTCGGATTGGGCCACTTCCATATGTTGTCCAAATCCGATACAGATCGGATCTTTTTAAATGCGACCTCAGTCTGGACACTCGGGTCGCATTTGATGAAACTTGAGCAGCTGTTCTGCTGTAGACGGAGCCGCGGTGAACGAAAAAGCTCCACAAAAAGCCGTAATTAAACATGTGGCTCTCTTCCTTCTCTACCTCGCTATCATCTGCTCACAAATTCCCTTTCTTATACCTAAAATCCACCGCACCGGGGCTCTCTTCTGAGTTACATGCATGCTACTTGTCCGAGCGGACACAGTGAGGAGAGAGAGACGGAGAGAGTGGGTTGTGGGGCAGCTGCGTTGTACAGCGCCAGAAACCGTAATGAAACGAACAGAAAGTTGTGCATACGTGTCATAATTCGGGAGAAATGTGACCCATGAGAGGACAATGAAAAACGGGAGTCTCCCGCTAGCTAACCGGAGAAATGTTGCTCCTCGTTTACTTCTGCAGCCTGCAACGGCGTGCTGCGTACGTGACATCGTGTTATTCTTCTGCGCATGCGGATCACTTTCAGGCCGCGGACAGGTTAGACTGGAGTCTGATATTGGCCACATTTAAATTATAATGTGAACTGTCAAACAAAAAAAAATTGGATCTCGGGAAAAAATCTGAATTGAGCATTAAGGCCTGCAGTCTGAACGCAGCCGATGTGACACATTTAAACTGCCAAAACCTTGCATAATCGCAGTCATCTCCATTCTTCGTTAACTGCGGGGCTTTAATGTACAATATGTATTTGCAAGTAGTAGTAGTTAAGCAGGTCATCCGTCTTCTCCTTTGGGTCAGTGGTGAATTACTTTTAAGTAGGGAGAGGAAGGAACAACAAAGGCTAGTTAATGAAAGAGGTATTTCACTGCACATAGACCCATGTAAATGTGTAAACCTATTTAGCTTAGATACTGTAATATGTGTAGCTTTTAGGCATTATCAGGTTTAACACTGTATTTGCATAGCATTGACCATACATTCATCCTCATTCACTCATAAACCATCCATATCTACACAAGTGAGAAAAAGGTATACAGAGGAAACCATTAGTCAATAATAATAATAATACGTCAAACAAAGAAGGATTTGCTTTTATTCTGTTGGAATTCCAAGGAATGGTCTGCTTAAGATTGGGTGGAGAAATATTAGAGCTTATTTTGCAAAATGTTTGATAAATCCATGAAGAGGGACGTACACAATGGCCACCACTGTACTGGATCAAGCAATAGATACGCCCAACTCTGGAAAAAATATTGTACATGTTTTTGTGTGTGCGTTAAATTGTGTTGGAATCTGAATGTGTTGGATCTGCAGCTCCAACTTTCTTCTTATTTTCAAGTTACAAACCATCATTTGAGATAGGAAGCTAAAATGTGACGTCACGCCATCAGCGAGATGTGATGGAAAAGGCAATATATGAGTTTGTGATGCTTCCTGAGGAAGGGCCTGATCCTATCATGACAAATGTGATAACTTGGTAGGTATACATGCATTTATGTGCAATTCAACGAGCAAACACACAAACAGGATGCACAATAAATATTAGTAAAATCAACAATGTACAGACTTAAATGTTTAAATGTCCTAAATTTGTCCAATTATGTCATGGGCTTGAGCTGGAAAATTATGTGCATTCCTGCTTTATTTGTTACAGAAATTAAATCACCACACTAAACTAACATGGATCAGACAAGCAAAGTCCATTCATAGGTAAGGGAAAAGAAAAGAAAATCCCATTCAGCTCAATCAGTTAAGAGCTTTTTGTTGAGTCAGAACCTCATACATACGTCAAATCTTTCCACATATATACAGTTACATACTATACACACCTAGTTTGTCTGCACAGTGTGTTCAGCCGTGCAAGTGTGCCCATTCTCTACCTGTGAAGTCATTACAGTCTAATCCCTGCCAAGGTACACAGTCATTAGAGAATATCAAATCTGCTATTCTGGGCTGGACACCTGGGATTGATCTATCAATCTATCATGCATTCCTTAATCCTTGAAAAGAAAATGAGGTGAGTTTTCAAATGAGCTGAAATCTTCTGCCTGGCTGGCAAATGGTGCGGTGGCCGTGATGAGGTTATGAGCCTGAAAGTTTAAGTAAAAACCAGCAGCAGAAAAAGAAGACCTCTTTATTTGTACTGTATATGTAAAAAACGTGTATGTGAGTCTGTATATGTGTAAGCATTTTTTTAAGCAAAATCAGAATGATGCAGTCCCGTTCTGAACCACAAAGGGTAGGGCTGTGTTTGTGTCTGCATACCCAAATGTCTAGCCCCAGAACAGCCTAGAAGAAGCAGCAGGCCTAATCTTTGTAGATGAGCGTGCATTTGAGATTAGCTTGTGCAAACACCTACACTGGTGATGCTGCAGGTCAAGTCTCCTACAGTGTTGTCCTCTTCCTTTCCACACCCCAGTCATGTTTTCTATCAATACCATCCGTCCATGTACATTGAGGACATGAGTAAGGATACTATGCATGTTATGTATATGATATGAGTGTCTGTGCACATGTATGTGGTTCCTAAAGGGGCAGGGTTGGGTGTGGAGATTCACAGAGGGGGCTGGCATCAGAATAGGGTCCACTGCAAGCAGAGTGCAGCAAAGAGAAGTGCAAGACTCCAGGGACGTGCCCAGCTGGCAGACGGTGAGCCCCCTATCACCTTCACTGAGGGGGGCTTGGAAGGGTTCTCATGCGGGCTGTCTCCTCCAGGCCGTCTCCCAATGGGTTTTCCTTCACTGGAGGCTTCTGTATGTGCTACGAGAGACAGAACCAGACAGACAGAGAGAGAAAGGAAGAGAGAAACAGACAGAGATAAATGGGTTGGCTCATCACGGTAATCATGGTAATCTGCTGTAATGTTCTGAGTCCTTTGGGCTTGTAAAATTGTATATTAGGGGCTCATCATCATCCAATCACCATTCCCATCACCTCATTCCAAGGGTTTTCAAAAACAATCAGACATAAAAATGATGTATGATTATGTCTGTTACAGTTAAAGTGAGTTCATATGTACACCAGAAGAAGCACAGCTGTGGCTGTTTATGTTGAAAGCACCAACCATTTATTTCTAAAGGGTGCTTTAAAATATTTCACAAATGCATTTACAGTAACACATGTATTACTTTTCAGCTACCAGCTCACTTTTATATCCTTTTGTCTAAATTACACACAATATACTGTACATGTGTCGCTATATACTGTGTAGTTCTGCCAATTGGGTAAAATAAAAAATGAACTCTCGCTGCCATGTTCACACACATATCATGGTGGACGACTGACTAGGTGTCAAATCTCCTGCAGCAGATGATATGGAGCCCTTGCTGCGTCTTTAGAGCCAATCAGAGAAAAATCAGCAATGACTGTGAGGCAGACATTAAACACACATACAAAATTACACACACAAACACTTTCCTGCTGACATTGGTGAAATCCCTGCTTTCCTTAAAGAGGACTACCCTCGTGTCTCTAACACTTGCTGTGTCACAAGTCTCTCTTAAACTTGATCACTTCTGTCCTCATACAGTGTCACTGCCCTGGCTCTCAACGTATCTAGTTCCTCTAGTTGTCTCACTTCCCTAGCCCGGATGTCACAGTTGTGACAGAGAGTATGGTACCTAGTTTTAGAATACTGACAGTGCCAAAGCCCAGTGTGAAAATGTCAGCTGTCACTGACACAAAAAACAGGCCACTTTTACAATGATTGCCACCAGTTAAACTGATCTGTCTAGAATTCAGTTGTGTAATTAAATACAGTTATAGCCTCCTCTTGACAGCAACGTGTGTTATAAGTTATCAGACATTACACCCACAGAAAATCTGAAATTTCATAGCACTCCAAGCAAGAGCTTTGAATACCTAACTAAATCACTTCTTCACTGACATAAAAGAACAAAATGTATTTCTCTCTTAAAGCGTCTTCCAATACTAATTTTTCCTTTCACACCTGCCATATAATGCGTATATCTAAATATTCATTGTTTTGTAGAACTGAGAATGCATCAACCCACCCGTACTGTGCAACTGGGTTTGTATGCCCACATGTGTATGCATGTGTGAATGGGGCTAGGCGGGGCTCTAGAGAGAGAAGTGTTTCCCGTGCCACTGGTTTTTGTTGTTCCAGTAGACAATAGACAAAGACATCATTTATCCCAAATCAGATTGCTGTTATTGTTTCAATGGAAATGTGCTGCATGTCATCAGGGAGATGTCAGAAAACAGCATTTGAATGAGCCAACACAACACTAATACTACTCCACTGCAGGCAAACCAACTGGCTAATTAATGTAGCAGATCCATGCCAGAACAACCAATTAGACAACAGTACTGCCAAAGTGTCTTTTTTTTCATATAAGGTAGACATTTTAGAATGCATGGTGTTTGAAATATATAAGAAGTGCCACCAGCTGGCATAAAAAAGAAGAAATGAAAGAAAGGTTTGTGTAATTTATATCATGTGTTATTTCCTTTACAATGCCTATCATCTGCAGCTGATGCAGCAAACTTTAATAAACTATAAATGAACCAAAGATCACACTACACTACACATTCCCTAAGGAAGTATTCTGAGCTCATTAGACCGGGATGAGACCCGGGAAAAGATCCAGAACATGTACAAGAGATTATGTATCCCAACCAGGGAATGTATCCTCCAGTATCCTCCACAATAAGATGGAGGACATGGTGGGGGAAAAGTACGCCTGGGCTGCTCTCATGTGCTGCTGTTGTGATCTGGTCCCAAATAAGTGGCCAGAATTTGAGGGATGGATAAATGTTGAAATCTATTTTGCACTGACAATACGTTTTATAAATAGATTTCAAGCAATTCTTAAAGGTCACATTATTGGCAATACTGTCAGTGGCGTGCAGTCTTGCAAACAGATGAACATCTGTTGTGGAATGGGGACAGTGAAGCGCTCCAAAACATAGCTTTGTCATTGGCTTCAGTTATACTGAAATGTAATAATGCATTTTGTTATATTTGCCTTGGAGTATTTCTATTAATTTATTTATTTCTATTAATATTGATTTACTACAAAAAGGTTTGTTAATATGGTAAAACTGTTTCATGGGCAGGGAAAAAAAAAACTTGGCCACCAATCTCCCATGGGTAAAGCAAAAAGAGATACTGTGATAAGTATTCTTGTCACATAGTTTGGAACTATTTATGTGATGATAATATTTACATATTATTTGATAATAAATATTTATCACATACTAGTGAAATGTTTACCATGATAACTTTTTCAGCCATATCCCTTAGCAACATCTGAAAAGCTTTTGATTATTAAACTAATAAAGTTGAATGAAGCACCAGAATCTTGAGAAAAAGACGTGTATTAAAATCCCTTAAAAACAAGCAACAACTTGAAGTACAAAGAAATGAAAAACCTGGAGGGCAGGAGGATAATGGAATGTGATGTTGTTGTCATAATGAGACAATGTTAGCACATAAGCCGTGCTTCATAAGCTGGCTCATGTGTAAATCCCCCAAATATGGTGAGGAAAAGAAGGGGGAATAAGCAAGACAGAAAAACAGAGGGTGGGAGGGAGTGAAAGATGACATAGAGGGTTAGAAGAGGAAAACAGTTAGTTTGGCTTTTCAGTATGAGAATGGCGATCCATCATCACTCATATCAAAGCAGATGGAATCAATCACCTTGGTCGGCATCAAGGCTATGCAATGGCACATCGACATGCTTCCCCCATTAAAGCAACAGTCAGTGACATATGTTCCCCAACAGCAAAAGACAAATGTGATTTGATTGGTAAAAAGCTTTATAATAGGCGATGAACAGTGACAGCCAGAGAAACAAAAAGAGACAAATAGAACAGGAGTGCTAAGAAGTATGTACAAGATCATAGACCTTAATATCTGGGAAGAAGTGTATAAATATGCAAATATATGGGCTCTTTACTAGTATAAAGAATAGATTGGGGTAGCTGTCATTTGTCATTAAGTCCTGCAGAAGGAAGAGGATCATATCACTGATATATAGTGACTGTGTTACCTTCATAACTACACATACAGTATAAATGACTCAACCCAAGCCTATAATTTCTTATAGAGGGATGTTCTGTTATCTACCACCTTGTTGACCTCTGTGTTGGCTAAGTGTGTGAGAAATGGTTCATAGTGTCCTTTGCTACTAATGCCTCTCCAAATGGGCAGCTTATGTGTTTGGAGGAGCCTCCATTTCCCAGTGGCCAAGGAGCAACAACAGCTGCTTCTAACAAGCCTGCCCACAGCACTAAAGAAGAGGTGGACCTCACGCTCTAGCCAAGAGGAAGGCGGGATGGGAGGGGAGGCAGAGAGTAAGGGAGGAATAAGGGTTGGAAGGTGAGTGGGAGGAATAACAAATGCCTGGGCCATCATTTCTTTGGTTCTCTGGGCAACCATGTAAATGTTCTAGTGCTTCTCTCCTCCCTCTCTCTCACTTTCCTTCTCTCTTCTCCTCTGTGTTTCTTTTGGTTTGCCAGCACAGCGCCACTGCTGCCACACAGATTAAATCCCCAAACCTATGCAATGAAAAGAAGAAAACTATTCTCAAACAATCCTCCCTCTGTCTGCAACTGATAACATTTAGTCTTAGTGTTCCTCAGCGCATCGTACATACTGCAGACAAGAATACACACATACAGACTGGATGAATGCACACAAACACATGTACGTACAAAATCATACACTCCTACACAGAAGCAGTAACAGGCAGAGAGTTTATTAAGGGATTCCATGGAATCCGATGAGTGAACGCAGGAAACTAAGGTCCATATGTGTTGTGCACATGGCCGTGTATGTGTGTGTGTGTGTGTGTGTGTGTGTGTGTGTGTGTGTGTGTGTGTGTGTGTGTGTGTGTGTGCAAGCCTTGGCTGAACACAGAACTGTAATCCACTAAGGAATGGTGCTACTGTATTTTTGACACATTCTTTTTTACCACTCACACAGGCAGACACATAAATATAAGCATGCGCAAGGGCAGAAAGATTTACGCAGGCTCATGGTGCATGCACACACACAGAGATAAGGTGATGGAAATTAGTAGTAAGATGAAATGTGATGAGTAAGTCACCGCTCTTCAAGGTGTGTGTTCAAGTTCAAGACACGAGAACATGCTTCAGAGACACACAGAAGCAGGGTTTGACTGGCAACAAAAAGCAGCCCGGGAATATGTTGTCAAGCGGCCACAATTTGAATTCAAACTGACCCAACATGTTTGTCAATCAACAAATCATTAATTTAAACAAATGTTAATTGTACTGTATGTGTTAGACTAATTTATAAAATGATATAAAATGCATTAATTGTCCAAGGTTTTCCTCCCCATGTATGTGTACCAAAAGCACAAATTCGAAGTTGTCTGACTCTCTTTCGGAAATTTTCAGATGATCAGTAATAAGTTGTATTCAATCAGTACAACCACATAAGAGCGCATAGCACATCTATTCTTAAACTATTTAAAAAGAAAACTGTTGTTCAGTGGCATTGGCTGGTCATCACACATACCTGTCTCCATAGAGACTTCCTCCAAACTTTTCCTGTCTGTCTCAGGGCCATCTGTTTGTCAAAAATGCATAAAACATCATTTTGATGTCTGACATGAGCATTAAATATAGTTGTATTTATAAAATTCATGACCATGTCCAACCTTGACATGGGCAAACAGAGTGTATTATGCAACAGACTTGTCAATCATTCTATTTCAGGTATTTAACAAATCATTATTATTGCTGTGCTGGCTATATATTATTTTGCTTTT